AACAGTATTATTGTATAATACTGTATAAGTAGTATTGTGTAATGAACTCAAACCATTGTGTATTTAACTTGAATTTTGCTACAATAGGCTCCGTTCTTAACTATGGGTCATCTGCAGCCCAGGTGTTCTTAACCTGTGGACTACCTGCATTCAAGAATCATTTGGCATATACTGTATTAAGGTTCTACCATAAAACAGTGCTGAACCATACCCGGTTTCACTCTCCCTTGTTATATGATAATAGACTGATGGATCCAGCCACTCTTAATCTTTCACAAATATAATTTTTGTGAAAAAATAGAAAAGCAATTAGATTCAATTGCTCAGCCCTGCTTGGAATGCTGCCACCATACTCACAGCGCATTGACAGAGGATGTGATCAAAAAAAGAGAACACTGCTTAGGGTCTCCACAAATCTACATCCAACTTGGATGAAGTCCACAGAATTGTTTAGAAGACAAAAATGGGAAGGGAAAGAATTACATAGTTTGCTCAGATCTCCTTGGAAGAAGGATAGCATAAAAATAGAATACATAAATTATTTCTTATTGCATTTTTCTTGGGGAAAATTCATTTATATTTTAAAGATAAAATTCTGTAAAAATCACATGCTGCTGTAAAACCAATTAACCATTTTAATAACAACAACAACAATATATTAAATTTGTATGCCACCCTCTGGGAGGCTCACAACGATCAAAGAAATTACAATAAAATAAGTAAAAACATAAAAGATAACAAAGCAAGAGAGATTAAGCCAGGTCTTCACAGATCTTCTAAACAACAGCAGAGTGGGGACCATCTGCATCTTGGGGGGAACCTCGTTCCAGAAGGCAGGCGCTGCTAGAGAGAAGGCACGCTTCTGGGTTCCCAATAGATGACATTGTTTAATTGAAAGAACCCAGAGTGTGCCAACCCTGCAGGATCATATTGGCCAGGCAGATGTTATGGGAGACAAGCAGTACGGTTTTATAGGTAACAGCCAGCACCTTGAATTGCACCCAGAAGCAAACCGGCAACCAATGCAACTCGTGCAACAGGGATGCTACAATGGGCATACCGAAGCATGCCCATTACTGCTTGCGCTGCCACGTTCAGGACCAATTGAACCTTCCAGGTGGTCTTCAAGGGCAGCCCCATGTAGAGCATGTTGCAGTAGTTGAGCCATGAGGTGACTAGGGCATGAGTGATTGTCTGAAGGGCCCTAAGAAAGGGCACAACTGGCACACCAAATTCAGTTGTCCAAACCCTCATAGCCTGCAGTCACTGGAATAGAACCTTGCCAGCCTCACTGGTGATGGTACTTATGATACGAAACCCCAAACTGGCAGATGACCTCACCCAGTGGTTTCATGTAGATGTTGAAAAGGGAGAAAAAGGAGAACCCTGCAGCACCCCACACAGAAGGGGCTGTAATTTTGGTCTGTAATTTCCCTGGACTTAGCTAATAGAAACTCTTTGTCCTAGATAGAATGATCAGTGAGAGACTTGTAAGAATTAGTGCCATACATACTGTTGAATGATGCAGTATTCCAGTGGTCTTGTGAAATAGCATAAAGATGGATGTAATTCAAAGAAAGAATGCTGTTTTTCTTAAATCTCTTTAAAGAAATGTGGCTGAAGTGCTTTAACTCTTGTTTCTGCAATTCTTACGATACATTTTTCTGAATTAAAATGGGAAGCATTCTTCATTTTTCCTTCCAAGTGGGTTACTTTTAAAATACATATAGTTATGAAAATGATTTTCTTTCAATTCAGTGTGTGTGTATGTGTGTGTGTGTGTGAGATATTCTTGATTAAAAGGAAAATAAGCTTAGTACCCCCTGCAGAAATGTATCAGTCTGCTTCTGAAATGATTTTGAGTGAAAAAATGGACTGAAAGCGAACAAAGGAGGGCAGTGGAGGAAAGGGCAAAGCTCCCCAATGATAATTGAAATAGAGATACAGTGGAAAATTGGCATGTCCAATGTATAATTGGACATGCTTCCCATTGCTCTTTCGGCAATATTTACTAGGAAATACAGAATGTGATGAACTAGCACAACATGCACAATTTACTAGAAGCTAGGGAGAGCAGAGTCTGAATTGGAGGATGGGTTCATGGAACAAGCCTGATCCTGTTTTTTGACACCCCATAACTATATTTATAGAAGGCTTTGAAGGACATCATGATTTGGTTAAAGCTTGGAGAAGTGAAGGATTGGGATTCTGGATTTTATTAAGATGTATTCCCCATTCCTTATGACAGTTGCTAAGTTAAGCACAGAGATTCCTAAACTTTGGCAGCAGTTTTGTGCCTCTTAACATATAGTTCTGTTTTGAAATCCATGTGCATTGTTGGCTGAGATATCCATTTAAACCTTAAGCAAACTTTCTCTTACAAAACCAAGAACAAAATACAACTTAAATGTTTATGTGCATCCTCCCTTCCCCCTTTTAAATCCTCATCATCTCCTTGCTAAGAACTGGAATATTAAGATGTCCTGTTTGTGTGCTTTCAAAATAAAATGATTTTGTCTTTTCCTTGTTGCCAGTCAAATACAGTGGAGCAGGACTGAGTGTGCTCTTAAGTTCCTTAACCTCAGCCATAGACATGCTGCTTGATCTCAGTGACCTCCTTCAGGTAATTATATCTGCTTTTGTTTAAATATTCTGTTAAAACATTAACCCGTGCCAAAAACTGAAAGCAAAGAGATTGTAATAGCAGCTTTATTCAAGAAACCTTAGTTGTCTTTTTCTCCCATTTTGCAATGCTGGTTAGGAAAATCACAGAGATTGTAAATCAGGGATAATCGTTTAGTGCAATTAGAATAAAGTATTTGGTGTCTATCATTCCCTTCTACAAATAACAGATCAACAGTTAGTATAATTGTGATGCTAATAATTATGCTGCCAACGCTGTGGGCTTTATACTCTGTTCAGATTAATATTTTTTGTTTTTAAAAGAAGGATTTAAAAGTACTGGCAAAAGCAGGGGCACAGTTATATAAAGTGGGAGGGAAATTATTTTAGCAGAAACTTCAGAAGTTGGCTTGAAAGAAGAATTTTGGCAAAACTATATAAGAGGGATGCATCTGGACTTTGTGTTCTTTCTTAAATAACTATTTCCCAACTTGGGGCTCTTCAGGTACATTAGGACTGAACTTCCCAGAATCTAGCATCTGGAATGTTCCAGGTTAGAGATGATTTTTCCACATATATTATGATGGTTTGATGAACTTCTACTGTACACTGCATGAGAATGATTTAGCTGAAACATGCAGGGTAATGCATAGACAAATACATTGCCATTGCAATAACAATAAATGTATATATTTATTTAAAAGACTTACGTATATGGCTGCCTATATGCACTATAACCTTGGGCAGCTGACAGAACAATGATAAAACATAAAACCATAACAAAAACTCCTGGTGCGCCAAAGGAAACACTTCCCCACACATCAGCATTTCACTTTAATGCTTGTGGGAAGAGCCAGCTCTTTAAGACCTTCCAAAAGGCTAGGAGTGTAGAGGCCTGCCAGATCCCATTTAAGGAAAGGGACCTAGAGTGTGCCCACCATAACTGTCCTAGTGGAATGGGCAGATATCTTCAGGAAGAGGTGATCCTGCAAGTAGCCTGGCCCTGTGCTATTCAGGACTTTAAAGGACTTTCAACCAGCACCTTGAATTGCACCCAGAAGAAACTGGAAGCCAGTGCAGCTCACACAGCAGCAGTGTGATATGAGCAAACTGTGGAGCACCCAGGACTGCTGGGCTGCTGCATTTTGGACCAGTTGTAATTTTTGGATGGTCTTCAAGGGCAGCCCCATGTAGAGCACATTGCAGTAATCCAACCAGGAAGTGATCAGGGCATGAGTAACTCTGAGCAAGGCGTCATGGTCCAGGAATGGGTGCATTTGGCAAATCTCTGTGAAGGCCCCCCTAGCTATAGCTGTCACCTGCTCCTCAAGCAGGTGCCCCGAGTCCAGGAGGACCCCTATATTGCACACCAGCTCTGTCCATGGGAGTGCTGCCCTAGTATCAGTCTTACGAGGTAGAGTAGACAGTAAACATGACCAGATGAGCTAATTCTACTTTATCGTAAAGCTACATTAACAGAATATTGCAAGTCTGAAAGTACATCTCTCCCCGTCTCCTTTATAGCCTAAGTAATTAGGAAGGTCTCTTCTGAGCCTTTTGCCCCACCCGTATTCCTGTTGTGGGCTCAGCTGCCTTTTATCTGACCGTTTCCCTGGCTGTGTCTCTTTGCCCTGTCTCCCAAGATCATTCCCACATACTGTTACAACTGGCAAGACTGAGAGATAACACCTTACCAGATCCAGGGGTACCAAAAACCCAAAGCCACCCTTCCTTGCTAGGAGAAAGTCAGAGCCAGTTCTTCCCCATCCAGATACATACAGCCTCCAGGCACTGAGCCAACACCATTGCTTGACCAGCCAAGGGTGGAGAAGTATAACTGGATGACCTCTGCCAGTGATCTCATGTAGATGTTAAAGAGGAGAGGTGAGAGCTGAGCCCTGAAGCACCCCACAGTGCAAGGGTCTAGGGCTTGATCCCTTCCCTCAACACTGTCTGGAACCAGCCATAGAGGAAGGAGGAGAACCAGTGCAAAACTGTGCCCCCCACTGCCAACCCTGGGAGCTGGTCCAGAAGAATACCATGGTCAATGGTATCAAATGCCACTGAGAGTTGCAAGAGGGCCAGGAGAAATGTACCCTCTGCCCCCCAATCCTGAGTCCTCCACAGGGACAACCAGTGCTGTAGCCCAGCCTGAACCCTGTCTGAAAAGGGTCCAGATAATCTGCTTCATCAAGAGCCCCCTAAACTGAGTGCCTACTACCGTCTCAACAACATTCCCTAAAAAGGAGAGGTTGGAGACTGGACAAAAGTTGTCTTATCACAAGTCAGGTCCAAGGCACCATCCCCTCCCTCAATGAGATATTAATCTCTACTTAAACCCAACCACATGCAATCTCCCAGGAGGCCTTAACTGCCCAAGAGGGCCATGGTCCAAATGTGTTGCACATGTTTGAAATGACCATTTTGTATATTCTGTGTACAACTTAGTGGTGAAAATTATTCTTTACCTCCTCTTCTCAGTTGTCTTTAAATAACTGGCATCCTCTCACCAATTTAGTACTCTGAAATTGCAATACTTTTAGCATATTTAATTTTTTACAGTGGATGAGGTTTAGTCCAACTGTACTCTGAAAAACTTATTTCTCAGTAGACATATATATGATTATACTGCTTCATTCTAAAAGTAACTTCATTTGACAGTACATTGGGTTTGTGGGGAGAGAGTGAAATATCCTTAAGGTTTTTGTTTATGATGTATTATAAGAAATCCTTATTAAATGGATAATTTGTAAGGTCTTTCTTATCTTGATAATGTCTGATTTATCTCTTAAGGTATTAGTTCTTTTGGATTAGAGGTCCTTGTTTAGCGACTGCCTTGTTTAGTGACCATTTGAGTTACGATAGTGATGAAAAGGTAACTTTGCACCAATCCTCGTATTTATGACCTTTGCAGGTCTATAAAGCAAAGGAAAGCTGAAGTAAGATCATAAGCACAATTGCTGTTTCACTTAGCAACTGCTTCACTTAATGACCAAGTTGCTGGTCCCAATTGTGGTCACTAAATAAGGACTACCTGTACTGCTAAATCTTGTCAAAAGTTTTCAACTTTTCTGAACTTTCTTTAAAAACTGTATTCAACATGGAACCATATTAACAGCTAATATATAACTACACAATGTATTATAAACCATATATTACTTTTTCTTTTATCTACCATGACCCCTCTCAATCATATGCCTTTTCTGCAAATAAGCTGAAAGTAACAAACTGCAGATTTGGATACCAGGCTGCCAGTCTTTGTAGTGGAGAAATAATATATTTATATATTAGTACATGTTATCAAAATATATTTACATGCAGGTAGGAGACAAGTAAGTATGCAGATTTATGCTAATTAGAAAGCCTTATTTTAATATACTTTAATATAATTTGTTTGAAATGTCTTTGTTTAAGAAACAGTTTCTTAAAATTTTTGTTTAATTTATGGTATTTGTGAAGCCAATAATTAGCTCAGTGAAACTAATTACAAGCCCAAAGCTGAATTCCAAAATAATTTCAAGAATTCTTAAAATGAGGATTTGTCAAAAATTTTAGCCACAGCTGGAAAAATAGCCCACCCTATCTTCTGGGTAGATTTTTCTCACAAACTGAATAGGAGGCGGGAGAGGGAGAGTAAGTATACTGGAGCCCTTTAAAATATTCAGTAAAAAATTAAGAACATTGATTCATAAAGTTCATGATTTTTGTTATCTATATCTTAATGTTCATAGTATGGGAAATTATTTGTTTTCCATATAACTCTATTAAGATTTTAATAAAGGAAGATGAAAACTAACATAAACTAATATTTAGAATAAAGAAAAGAAAGAAAAAAAGGAAGGAAAAAAAGACAAAGCCAAAAGGGCAGAAAAAAAGAAAGAAAATATAAAGAAGTAGCTTCCAATTTTCTTTACAGCAGTTATGCGCATAAGTAAAAATTTACGTCTTGCTGTATGGTTACAGCATGACTTTCATTTTTTCTATAATCTTTTTTTTTTCTAACCACAGTATGGGAAATTAGATGACTGAACTCTTATTACAGGAAAGCAAATATGATTTAATGAATATAGCTGAAAAATAGTAAGCTGATTCCATGACCATATAGCAATTGAAGAATACATCTTGTTCAGGGGGAACATAAGTAATACAATGGAGTTATATGTTAAAAATATCCACCTCAAAGCAGTATTGTTGTTGGTATCTGCTACCAGCTATTGAACTTAGAAAAAGTTATAGATAGTACTTTTCAAAAGCAAATTGCAATTCTTTCTTATAGTAGTAATGAGGGAATGTTAATTATCCCTACATCTGTTGGAAGGCAGAGTCAGTGAAGCATGAACTGTCTGGAATATTCAAAAAGAACAGCTCTTCTTTTTCAGTAAGGCACAAGGAGATCAGCCTTTTCTGACATGATCGTAACCAACAGGGAAGATACAATAGACAGACTGGAATTAGTTGGGGAATCAACTTTGGGTAAAAGTGATTGTGTAATGCTGCATTCTTGATTTTAAGGGAAATTAAAAGGAGATGAAGTCATACATGTACCTTGAAATTGAAGAAAATGGATTACATGGCAGGAGAAGTTAATGGGAAAAAGGGCAAACTTCCTTAAAATGGAGAGACTAAAAGCAAAACTGCAGACAAGTCCAACAAGGAAGAAAAATGGAAGACTGCAGAAGAAGCCAATGTGATTGCACAAAATTTTTAGTGAATGTTAAAAAAATAAAAAAGAACACAAATAGGAGACAGAAAGAGGAATAGAAGGAATATGTATTACTAACTCAGATTTGTAGAGATAGTATCAAGAAAATTAAAGCTCAAAATGATCTGAGGTTGGTAAAAAAAAAGTTTTTTCAAACATATTCAGAAATAAAAGAGAAAAAAATTCAGCTGTTGAAAGAAGAGGGCATAAAGGATAACAGATCACAAAGGCAGAATTACTCAGCTCCCATTTTGATTTGGTCTTCCCTAAAAGGATATCTCTTCCACCAGGTGTTTGTG